ATTTGTATCTCCCTTCCCGACTCTTCTCTCTTTCTGCTTCCTGGATACCATCACATTCTTAAGCAGCTGTTACTCTATGCCCCTCTGCTACACCTTCCTGCCTAGCAGTCAGTGACAACAGACTGAAACCATGAGCCCAAATAAACCTCCCCTTTAAGTTCTAGGTGTCAGGTATTGGGCCTCGATGAGAAAAATGACTCAGCACACATACTAAATTTGTTTAGCTAAAAGTTGTCTGAATGTCAAGTGTTACCAAAATACTGATTTCTATAATTGAAACACACAGACATTTTGTGGAACTACCCAGACTACACAAAAACTTCAATAAAAAATCTTTATACCAGGATTTCATAAATATCGCTCGAATAATCTATAGGATTTTCACACACTTCTGCAGGATCTCAACGAATATTAATGAAATGTTTCAAAGAGTTTTGGCATTAGGTCAGGAAAATTACTTCCAAAAATCAAAACTGCTAGTTGTGAGTGTGTTGAAGATATCTGGTTCACCCAAGCAGATGTAGTCCACTCTAGCTTAACTAGTTGTATTATAGTTAAGCTTACTTTAAGTTGTGACTAGTATATTCTAGTATTCTTGATTAATATAACTCTCACATGAATCCACACAGCCTCCCCACTTATTTACTAGTTGCCAAATATGTGTGATAAATGTTTTTGTTGTTTTGACAATGGTTCACATTAGGCTATTCTCTCACACTGTGATTATAAAGTGGTTGGCTTTCCCAAGTAGATAAATTAGGCCTCTATGCTCACCATTAATGGAACAAGTGAGAAAAGGAAGCTTTCTTTGCACATTTAAAAAGAATACATTCTATTACTAAGAATTAAGTGTATGGTTGTTTCTCAACAGTTTCGTAATCATTTTGATACAAACAGCTTTAAGAAACTCTGACAAACCAGGGTGATTTCTCAGAGCGAATCCACTTAGTGGTTTATTTTGCAATTTAACACTGTTATGTCATCCAATGTGAGGATTAGGATTCAAAGAGTTTCCAAATGTCTATTAAGAAGAATTAGTCAGTTATTCTTATAATAATCTAAAAGCCTTAAGGCCAAATCCTTTACACCAAACACTAGCTACCACCTATTGAGTTATTTCTATGCATGTGCAAGGCACAGGGCTATTTTACAGAAACTGTCTCAATTTTTACAACCAATACATAAAATTGGTTATTCTCTTTTTACAGATGAGAAACCAAAATTTAAGGAAGATGACCAACCCAACCTAATCAGTTAAAGAGACAGAGCCAGTACCTTAGGTGAAATTTAAGTCTGCACCAGTGAATGTTTCATTTCCCCCACATTTCTTTTTCTTGTCTACTTTGAATAAATTTCTTATTTAAGTTTATAGTGTATAGGAAAATTCTGCTAACTTGTCAGCCCAAAGACAGAAACACCTGTCTAATTCACACAAGTGAGTCTGACAGACTAGATGACTAGACTTAGGAATCCTCTGAAGGAAGGAATTCTCATAAGAGCCTCGATTGTCCCATCCTCTGGGCACAATTCAAGTGGGATTCCCTGCCAGATTCAGAACTAAAAGCAGAAGAAGCCCCTGCTTATTCCTTCCTTATTTCCTTCTCTTTCCCTCCATGTCTGTCTCCCTCATTCTTTCCTTCCTTCATTCTTCCTATTACTAGTTGTTCATTCTACCATACTCCAGGCACTGCCTTAGGCAATGAAGAGCAGAGCAGTCTCTGCACTTCATTAGCTTTCCAAGAGGCCGAAGCTGCACTGCATAGTCCATGAAGCTCAGCTCCACCACTTACTGTAGTTTGAATATGACTGATCCCCACCAAGACTCTTGTTCAGACTTGGTCCCTTGACAAAGCATTGTTGAGAGGCCATGGTATCTTTAACCAGTATTGTGGAGTTGCGCAGGAGGATCACAAGTTTGAGCCCAGCCTGGACAACATAGAGACTTATGAAACCGTGTCTCAAAAATAAATAAGGCTGGGGTTATAGCTCAGTGAGAAGACCCTGGGTTTAGACCCCGCACCAAAAAAAAAAAAAAAAAAAAAAAAAAAAAAAAAGAAAAAACAGGCATTAAGAATCATGGGGGCATTACCCAATCGAGAGATTATCTCTATCTCACAAGAGTGAGTTAGGTAATAAAGGACTGGATTAGAAGAAGCTATGGTGAGAGCAGACTGTTAAAAGCAAGGCCACCCCACTGATTGGCCTTTTTGTACGCACCCACTTCCCTTCTACTTTTCCATCACTGTGATGTTGTCACAGGACCTCAACAGCCCATGCTGTCTGAACTTTTCCTGCCACCAGTATGTTAAACCAAACTATTTTATCCATTATCCAGCATCAGGAATTCTGTTACAGTAACACAAACCAGAACAAACACTAGCTATGTCAGTACTGGAAGTCATATAACTGAGCCTAAATTCCTTTCCTGCAAATTTGAATATAGACAGACTTACTCCATGGGGTTTTTTATGTGCTACAGAAAGGAAAAGTGTAAGGTCTGCAACACAGTGAACATTCTAAACATGTTGAAGTTGTTATACTCAGGCTTCTAGGAATGAGTGAGTCTGTCTGTCCAAAGTGTAGAAAAATTGAAGCTCATTATCTTCTCTCAAAAACTGGAAATTAATTCACTAGCAAAGATAATCTTCAATGAAGGACTGTGGTCTCCTCAGAGGAAGGAGAAATGTTGCATTATCAGCTCATACAGAGTCACCTGCAACAGACAAATGTATGGGGCTGAACACAATGTTTGAGGCTAGTGACGCTTCTCAAATGTTTCTTTTGGAAGATCTTATAGACTTTTATTTTATACCTTCTAAACTCTCTTCAGGCTTTTGGAAAAACTGAAGAGCAAACAAGATAGGAGAAAGATTAACCTGGATGACTAGAAGTGAATTTCTTGAGAACAGAATTACAAGCTCACTTATCTTGGTAACCCAGTAGGAAGTCTAGAATGATAATGGATTCACAGGCTCAAAAATAGCCAGTCTAGGGCCAGGAATTTAGCTGGGCTGCACTGAACCTGCCTTGCAAGCGCAAGGTCCTGAGTTAGATCCCCGGCTTAAAAAAAAGAAAAAATGGCTAGTCTATGTTCTAGGTGTTTTCCATATGCTTTATTCTCACAGTGTTGTATCAGGGTGGGTATCATCTATCACATTTTACTGACAAGGAAAAAAAGAAGCCAAGATAATTAATTTACTCAACCATACAAAAGTACAGAAACAAATCTGAAGTCTAGGTTTTGGGCTTCACTGGATCTATAGTTAATGCCCTTCTCCTTTATAAATGTCTCTAAAAATGTTTGGTGAATTAATTAAAAACAAATTCTGGAGATACCTTTTTATTTCAGCTCTATGATCCAGGAACATAACTCTGCACAAGAACATTTCTTTAGGTCACTCTGCAGTCTCTCTAAGAGCATTCAAAGCCAAAAACATAAGCCAGGTAGTATAGTAAGTGCATGTTTAGAGATAAATTGAGCATTTTTAGGACCATGGAAACTAGTGTTAAAGTGCTAAAGTGTTAAAGTTTCAGATTCTGTATCATTAAAACACTACTTAAGGACAAAGAGTAGTATGTAACTACAAACTGTTAATGTGAATATCTGCAAAAAGTAGTTTTTCTAAGTTTTAGGCAAACACTAAGTTGCCTACAGTTAAAATCATTCATGGGGATCATTCAGTTGTCCTTTGAGATTGATTTAAATGTAATATGTTCCTATGCACAAATTGGAGTTAGGATTACTTCTCCAGGGCTAAATGAGTCACCTTGTCCAACCCTCAACTGCCCTCTGCAGGCCCCACCCAACTCTGACTTTTCTGCCACACTCTCCTACATGCACACTTAGTACTTGTGGTTTCAATGCCTAAGCACATTCAAGTTGACCTGTCCGTTAAAAGTTTGCAACCAAGCGAGTCCTGACTGGATTGACCCTTGAACCCCGGAGTGCAAGGAAAGACATTTAGGACCACAACTTCTTACAAGGTCTTTTTCACCATCGAGTGCATCATTACTCTCTATTTTTATCCCCCTGCCCTGTCTCTTTTGGATGCGGGAAGGGAGGAGGACATGAAAGACTAGCTTTCCTATCGCCATTAGTCAGACCTTAATACAGTCAAAGAAATACTTGTAGAGAAAATACTCCTCGTTTCCTTTCCCATTGGGGTGTGAGTGTATTTGTGTATTTCATTTTAATTTCTCTGGAGTGAAACCACAAAATCCCCTCCCCGGGTCCTATCCGGAAAGTGCCCTTCCCAAAGCTGTCTGCAGGGCTTTCAGCTCGGAAGCTGCGGGGGAGAGGGATGCAGGTGGCGGCGCAGCCTGGCAGAGGCAGCATGTGAGCTGACTCGCAGCCTCCCAGCCTCCTGCGCCACCTGGCCGGCCCGGTGTCCCCGGTGTGGCGCAACGGCCCAGGAAGCAGAGCGTCTGTCCTTAAGGAGCAAGGCCTCTGGGCACCACCGAGTCGGCACAACCCAGGTATCCAGCCGCAGGCCTCCTCCGCATCCACCTTGCCATCCGCCCCCACCTCCGCCCTGCTTCCCAGGCGCCAAACTGAAGACAGCCCCGACTGCTGCAGCCCTTCTTCCCAGCATCTCCGGGCCCCAATCCCGCGCTGATGGAGCAGCCTCTGCCTGCACGCACGCTAACCACCCGTCTCCCCCTCCTGCAGCAAGGGCAGCGGCCCAGGGTGCTGGATCCCCGGGGCGGGATGCTGGGAAGACACGCTCAGGGACGCGCCCGGCCGGAACCGGAGGCGGAGACCCGCAGGCCGAGGCAGGAGGGCTGGAGACCCCGCGGGCCAGCGCCCCCACGTGCGCATCCGGCCGGCTGGGGGCTCCCCACCGCGGCCCGGGGTAGGGGCTTTGCCTGAACAAGGCTCCCAGGGGGCCGCGCCGGCGCGCCTGTCACCGGCTGGCCGCTGCGGGTCCGCGCTGGCAGCCAGGGTCGCGGACGGACGCACGCTCCCCCCAACCGCCCACCGCCCCTCGCCTCCCCCGCCGCCCGGGCGCGCCGACTTTACCTGCTGTCCGGCGCACGGTGGGTGCTGTGGCGCCCGGTTCCCCCCGCCCAGCTGCAGCCAGTCCGCCTCGCCGTCACCGGGTGAATGGAATTATTTATTTATTTATGTCCCCTGACGTGTCCTCCTCCGCAGCGGCAGAGGAGGCGGGGGAGGCGCGGGGAGGGGCGGCCGGCCTGGCCTTTACTGGCGCAGAGGCGCGCGCGGCGGGGTTGGGGGGAGGTGGGGGCCGCGGACGGCTGGGAGCGGGGAGCCGGCCGGGCGGCAGGCGCATTGAGCATGCTCCGAGGCGCTGTCGGCGCGCTAGGCGCGCTCTATCTGTGGCTCCGGGCGCTCCACTTCGGATTTTAGTTTTGACCAAGGATCTGTAGTTCCAGAGGGGTCCTGAGGAGCTCCACGCGAAGTACTTTGGCGCCCAACCTGGGAGGCAGGTGTGCAAGCTCGGTTTAGATACCCGCAGAGAGTTTTGCACCCTATAGAAGAGAAGAACGTGAGACAGGAGGAGGCCGGCAGAATGCAGGAAACTAGATCCTCTGTGTGAGCTTTGAGGGAAAGGGTTGAGATGTTTTCTGTTAGGGACTTTTTAGGGGCGCAGGTGAAAGGTGGAAGGAGGCAGTGTTAGTGATTAGTACCACCAACCCAGTGCCTCCACAGGAAAGATAAAATCACCGTAGACGAGGTAGAGTAAACAGAACTGGAAAATACTGAGGATAGGGGAAAAAATGGGGGGAAATGTCATTTGTAAATAATACATTTCAATTTTAACTTTCCAAATCATTTAATTCTTTAAAACAGAATTTAGTTATTTGACAGTGAATAATGCTAGATGTTGTGGTAATTCTGCCATTATTGATTTGCTTTCTTCCCCTCTCTAAATATGTTTCTTGGGGAAGTCGAAATGAGGAAGAGCTGGAAAGGGACATGTAGGCAACTCCAGAAACTAAGGGGTTTGTTTTTCTTTTTTTTCCTCCGTTTTTCTGCTTTAACCTTTTATTCGTTTACTCTTTTATTTTTATACATATATATATAACATATTTTGATCATACCCATTCCATTATCCTCCGTTGTACCTCCCTCCTCTTTCTCCCTTATTTCCTTCCTTTTGTCTAGAAAGATTAGATCTCTTTTAAAGTCATTAAATTGAATTACTACTTAAGAGCAAAAGACTGTCCAGAATAATAAATGTAGGCTTGGACTTGAGAACTTGTATCAGCGTTTTCAGCCAATCTATTTTTTCCTCCCATATTTTACAATAATTTATTTGGTTATGTTTTGTTATTATTTGTATGGTGCTTCTTTGTCAATAGACATAGAGAGGTGAACTCACTTGAATAAATTCTCATTTTTACTTTCCTCTAGCTAGCCTGTTGGGCATGGACAAAACTTCAATTTCAATTTCTACAACTACAAAATAGAAATAATATCAACTTTTTATTTTCATAAAATTTAAGTGAGGTGATACATGAAGTGGCTGTGAAGCAGGAGATTGGGTCAGGGCAAGCTGGCTGGGCAACCAGGTGTGACCTGCTAATCATGGAGAACCAGAACACATGTGCAGAAAACAATTTCCAAGCCCTGTACCTGGGGCCAATCACAAAGAGCTATCTTCAGTTCTTCTGGTGCGAAATCAAACGGTGTTAATGGTAAGATGGCCTACACTTAACAATAGGCTGAAGAATGAAAGACAAAAGGACTGTGGCACTCCAGTTCTCTTGTTGTCCTGCTCTCACTCTTCCCACCTTTAATAAATGTAAATCACTCACTACCTTTTGTGCGTGTCTTGTCCAATTCTTTGTTCAGGACACCAAGAACCTGAAAAGAATCCCTGCAGGACCCCAGATCTGGTAACAGCTGGCAGATAATATGGCCATTAATAACTTCAGAAGGTTTGGAAGAAAGAATTGGCTTGAAAACTAAAACATTAAGGCAGAAATTCTACAAAGAACTTTAGACTTTTTTGACTAAAAATATATAAATACATATTTGTGTAGAATGAAATAGCCTTATGACAACAATAAAATGTCTAGTATCGACTATAAACTATTTCAATTACAAAAAAAAATGACAAACTTTGAAAAGAAAGTAAAGACTCATTTTAAGGTCATGCTCGTAGATGTTTGCTATTGACAATTTTCCTGCTCATTTATCCTTTCATTTCATTTCAAAGAAGAAGAAACATGTATTTTCTGAATTTCTACCCTGTTCCCATTTCCTTCCCCAACCTTTCTTTGGTCTTGTTTTTATAATCCCTTGTTCTTAGCCTATTTAACCTGTTGCCCAACTCAAACATCACAACTGATAGCAGCATATCATAATCTTAGCAAATTTTCCTTCTGAATTTTGTTTTTTCAACTATTAAAACTCTGGATCCAGCTTACCTACTTCCCTAGAGTTAGTATTTGGGGACGCAATTCTAAATTGCCTTGTTGCTATAGCTAGGCATGCTATATAAATATTTGATTGAATTAGAAAGGAATCTGAAAGGGGAATTAGGTAGAAATAAATCCAGTCAATCCTGTGACATACAGTTTCATATGGTTTAGAAATTGAAGGGGAAATACAATTTAATGAAAATGTAAACCACGTGATACAAATTTGAAATCTTCTGGCAAAATTTTCCCATTGATTTTTATCCATAAAGTGAAATATTGATGGTAGATACAATAACAATATGCTTAACATTTTAGCAACTCATTCCCCAGATAAGTGCATATATACATAACATATAAACTAGTAAAGCTTTAATGTCTGTATACCCACAACCTCATATTCTAGATTCATTATTCCCCGTATTCTCTGCTTTATTCCTCATGCATGCCATATCTTCTCACATTTTTCTGCCTTTTCTCATTCCTGCCCTTTTTTCCTTATCAAAAGTCTCTAGACCTTTATTCTCTTTGAGGCTCCACAAATAGGCCATCAAGTCAGGGTCATTTGAAATATTTCTTATTAATTCATAAGAATTAATTCTATCTTCCTTTGTGCCATTGCCAAAAAACATGACTTATTCCTCAACTTGGGGAATGTTCTTTCTACTCCTTGGTATGACTATGTTTTATTTTAAAATCTGCTTCCCCAATCTACTAGACCGTTTGAAAGTAAAGGTGACATTTTACTCATCTCTGGAATCTTCTGGTAACCAGTATAAATCCTAACAGATAGAAAGGTAATCAGTAATTTTTGCCAAATAAAGAAAAGAGAAGATAGTATAATTTTTTGTTCATAAAGTCTTTTCCTATACCAATATATTCAAGAGTTCTACCTAACTTATCTTCCAGCAAATGTAGTGTTTGTGTCCTAATATTTAAATCTTTAATCCACTTTGATCTTAATTTGGTGCATGGTGGTAGGTATGGGTCTAGTTTTAATCTTTGGCAGGTTGAAATCCAGTTTTTCCAACACCATTTATTAAATAGGCTATCTTTCCTTCAATAAGGATGGTTGGCTCCTTTGTCAAAGATGAGGTGGCTGAGCATATCTGCAGTTGTTTCTGCATCTTCTAATCTATTCCACTGATCCTCGGGCCTGTTTCTTTGCCAATACCATGCTGTTTTTATCACAGTAGCTTTTGTAGTATAGTTTCGAGTTGGGGATTGTAATACCCCCAGCCATATCTCTGTTGCCTAAAATTTATTTTGCTATTCTAGGTTTTTTCTCATTCCAAATGAATTTTTGGGTTGTTTTCTCTAGTTCTGTGAAATACATCATTGGGATTTCAATCGGGATTGCATTAGACCTATATAATAGTTTTGGAAGTATGGCCATTTTCACTATATTGGTTCTCCCTACCCAGGAACAAGGGATGTCTTTCCATTTTCTTATATCCTCCTGAATCTCCTTTTTCAAAGTGCTATAGTTTTCAGAGTAGAGGTCTTTTGCTTGCTTTGTTAGATTGACTCCTAGATATTTCATTTTTTTGGATACTATTGTAAAAGGAATTGTTTCCCTAATTTCTCTCTCAGTGAGTCTATTATTTGTGTTTAAAAAGGCTATTGTGGGTTTTTTTGAGGGTTGACCTTATATCCAGCTACTCTACTGAATCTGTCAATTAAGTCTAGAAGTCTTTTGGCAGAGTATTTTGGGTCTTCTATGTAAAGTATCATATCATCAGCAAATAATGACAGTTTAACTTCTTTCTTTCCTATTTTTAGTCCTTTTATTTGAAAAGAGAAGATAGTATTTTTCATCAACAGAAAGTGCTAGAGGCTCTCATACTCATGGTCAACAGGACTATACACTTCATGACTTCCTTTGCAGTGATATTAAAACCATGTGACTAATTCTAACAGAATGAGCAGAAGTGTCCTATAAGACCTGGGTAACAGGAGATAAGACCCAGGTCTCCTTCCTCCCTCCCCTCTCCCTGCCATAGTGCCATGTTTCTCAGAAAGGAGCTACAAAAAGAATTCTCTGAGAGCTAAAGACTACCTGCCTTGCACTCATCTTCATGTGACCAAGCAAACCTATGTGATTTCAGACTATTTTTGCCACGAGGACATAAACCTATACTGTTCTGATCAATATGTGATATTATTAAAAAGATTTTAAATCATAGTGGCATAAACGCCCAATGAAACAAACTTATGACAGTGCTTTAGTGTCCTGGTAAATCAAGGCTAAAATATATATTCTCATGATCCCCAAATTTATGTAACAGCATTTCCACAGCACCCCTTTGTGAAACCAATGTGAGTCTGTGTGTGCATAAACTATGCACAATACATTGGCTTCAACTAAGGACAAAAGAGCACATGTCCCAATATTCCCCTCAACTGGAGTGAAAACAAATGTGCACCTGCCGTCCAGAGGTAGCACACTGTGACTGAGATTGTAGCTAACTAGCAGCTGTATGATTGCTGTGACATGGTTTCATAGAATGTACAAAGTACAAAAGACTTCTCTGCACTGCTTCTAGTGTTATATTTTGAGTACATGTATATAGGTTACTTTGGAAACGCCTTCTGTGAAAGCCTTTCATAGAATTCCAGGGAATGTATATCTAGCCCAATTTTAGGAAGCATAAAAAAGGAGATCAACTGTACTGGGCAATGCTGGATGGTATGCTTTTCAATAACTATAAGTAGCACAAACCAATCTTGTCAAAACAAATGATTTTGGGGGCCCCCAAAATCATTTGGTGCACCAAAAATCTCTCCATGCACTATGCATTAAAATTTATCTGTTGGTATTTTTGTAATTTTATGGTTTATTTATTTATTTTTTTTTATTTTTTTATTTTAAGAAAATAAGTTTTGGTTCAGTGATTGAAGCATCCATAGTTACATTTTTCTTTTTTATCAAATTTTTATTTTTAATGGTCCATATTTGTATTACTTAATGATTACATTTCTTTTTCTTTCTTTTTTTTTCTTTTGCTTTGATATTGGGAATCAAACGTAGGGCCTTGCACTTGCCAGGCAGACACTGTAACACTAAGCTATATCCCCGGCCCTAATGATTACATTTCTTATGCGGAGTTGGCAGGTGTACACAACACATCTCGATACTTTTTTCATCCTCTTCCCTTTCCCTCTTACCCTCTCCCTCCATCTCTTGGTCACTTTTGTTCAAACTCATGGCTTCTTTTATATGAGAAAGCCCAAATGTAAATATATTTTATTTATTATTATCCACAAACTAAGCCTAATAGATTCTAAGTGTCTTATAGATGCTCTCGTATGAATATGACTATTCCAAAAGCATGTAAAATTAGACTTGGATTAAAAGTTCTTATACTGTGAACTTTTCAGGGATTTTTGTACACAAATGGTTTGTGACTATTTAGCAGTTCATGAGTTCCATTAATTGAATGCATGATGATTGGATGTGGTACCAAGAAACTTAAGTTTTAGTGCTGTTTTCTGTACATGTGGTCTATAGAAGGCCCTTTAACTTTTCTGAGTCATACCTTAATAGTTTCACTTTATAAAATTCCATGATACAAATACTTTAAGGGTTCAAAGATGCACAGAATTTATACATATTCTTAATAAGTGAAAAATATGTAGGTTTCTTTTCTATAAATGTGTTTCTCAAAAAATGAGCAAATAAACTTATTTACAAAGTAAGTTTATGTGCCATGTAAATTTAACTTTAAGTGCACCTGCTTAGCTCTTAATTCTTGTGTAACTTTCCATGTGCCTAGAATGTAATTGAAGGGTTACTCATTGTTTGCATTAACTTAATACTTTGTAGGTCAGAAAAGAGTCATGCAAAATGCTCTTAACTTCATGTGTGTTAGTAAGAGAGGTTTCATTTGTGGTTGGTTTACTTCTTTGCTTGAAATTAAGGCCAATTTCTTTTCTCTTTTCCATTCAGGAACTGTTTTCCAGCTTTCCATCTGTCAGAAATTTTTGTGCTGTTTTGTTACTTAATGCAAATTAATTTCTAAATTATTTAATTTTTCTAAGTGTTCAGTTTCTGTGATCTTGAATTATCATTTGTGTTTTTTCTAAGAAATAGTCTGTGTGAGATATATTATTTCCAATGTGGTGTATGTTTTATTCATTAATGAGTGCCTCTGTACTTGAACACTGTGATGTAGACTGGAGTTTAACTGCAAAAGTTGTAACGATGTATATTAATTTTGTTTGGATTACTTACCAGAACTTCATTTGCAGGTGCAGGTCTAAAGTCATGGAATCCAGTGATGGTACTGGAATATTTATCTTCATTGAGTTTCATTCATTAATTAATTTGACATAACACTTTAAGCAATTATTGTACTCAAGACATTGTAACCTTTGCAGATGTAAATAGTGATTG